CCTAATTTGCCTAATAAACTAGAAAATATTTATAATATAAGTGAACAGGATGTTAAAGATGTTATGTGTATGTTACAGATTTCTAAAGCTTCGGGTCCGGATAATATAATCCAAGAATTGTTAAGGAAGCAAAATTAGAAGTTATCACTACAAATCTCACTAAATTGTTTATCAAATCTTTAAACGGTGGTAAATATCCTCTCATTTGGAAAGTTGCAAATGTCACACCTGTATATAAAAAAGGTAATAAATCTGTTGTATCAAATTATAGAACTATATCTTTGAAAAGTATTGTTGGTACACTAATGGAAATACGTATTTTTAAACATGTATATAATTTTCGTAGGGACACAATCACGAAAAATCAGCCTGGCTTCACACCTGGGGATTCTGCAATTAATCAGTTACTAGACATTGCAAACAATATTGGGAGGGCATTGGATGCGGGTAAAGAACTTATAGCGGTATTCTGTGACATAGGTAAAGCATTTGACCGAGTTTGGCATAGAGGTCTTACATTTATCTGTAATTTAAAGCTGCAGGTATTTCAGGAAATTATTAGCTTTGTGTGAAAATTATTTATCCAACAGAAGTCAAACAGTTGTAGTAAATGGGAATTCTTCAGATTCTCAAAATATTAAAGCAGGTTTACCACAGGGTTCAATCTTATGTCCATTGTTTTTTTCTTATATATATAGATGATATTGTAAGTGACATTGATTAAACTATTTGAGGATGATACTGCATTAAACATAACTGTTGACAATACTGTAACTGCTGTAAATACTTTCAATAATGATCTTTCTAAAATACAGTCAGATATGAGCAGATGAATGGTTAGTGAAATTCAACCCGGATAAAACCGAACCACCATTAATAAGTAGAAAGACTACACCAGTAAATTACAATTCAAAACTAAGAATGACATTGATATCGCTACAGTAACAATTAGGAGTATGGGTGTCCGATAACGGTGCATGGAATATTCACGTTGACTACATATCAAAGAAAAAATCACCAAGATTTCATGTACATTGTAGCTGTACTTCGAAAACTTAAGAAACACTCTCGACAGGAATTCTCTCAAAACTATATTTTTTGCTTTTAACAGACCTATTCTCGAATATTCTGATGTGATTTGGGACAATATTCCTAACTATCTATGCCAAAACTTAGAAAATATTCAAATTGAAGTTACCAGAATAGTAGCAGGTGCAACTAAACTATCTTATTGTAATATATCTTATTACAGACGTAGATCTAATCTAATTCTGTGATTATATAACGATGTGGGCTGGGATAAACTAGATAAAAGACGTGAAAATCATAAAATCATACAATTTCATAACATCTATCATAATAAATCTCCAGCGTATCTATTAAACGTAGTTCCTAGAAAAATATCAGAAAGCCATAGTCACAACACAGATGGAATTCCAATCATTTACTTTCAATTAGATGTAGAACCAACTTTTACAAAGACTCGTTTTTGAACTCCTCAATACAATGATGGAATGCATTACCTTTAGATATTCGTGAAAATCCGTCAGTGAATGTTATTAAAAGATTTCTCCAAAAAGATAAAATAGTGGTCCCTACATATTTCAATATTGGAAGTAGAAACCTACAAATACTACATACAAGATTAAGGTTAAAATGTAGTAATTTGAAACAACACCTATATACGAATGCATAAGAAATTTAGAGGTAAACCCATTATGTAGATGCGGACTAGTTAAATGTAGGAACCACTTTTTACTCATATGTAATAATTACACCAGAATAAGACAAAATACTATCAATAGCTTAAACATTAACCTTACTGAAAATACTATACAATGGGGAAGTACGTAATATGCAAAACAGAAGAACAAAGAAATTATTTTGCCAGTTCAGAATTTTATCAAACTCAGTAAACGGTTTAGTTTATCCTTATTTGTACTATGTTCATGTACCACCTTATTATTGTAGTTATTGTTCTAAATAGTTTCTACATCAATTATATAATCTATTATTGATAATTGATTTTAAGTCTAATCAAATGTGCATCAAATTTAATGTTTCAATTTACAGTTCACCACCTGTAAAAAATATTAAGTTAAACTTTATCTTATACAAATTACTATGGTTATTTAGGTGTCAACAGTCTCGAAGAATTATTTGCCTGTAATATATACTTGGGAGAGGAGTTAATATAAGCTCTAAGCTTGTTTTCCAATCCCTGTGTAAGTATATGTGTGTAACATTGAGTAAATAATGTTTAAACTAAGGGAAGAGGCATATGATATTTAGATTATAAACGCGATCTTCAACTACACATTCAAATTAATTCATTGACAATACATTTGAACGATGCATAGGGATATATAAACTGACACCACACTTAAATTCGGAATTAAGGCATCACTATTTTAGCTAATAAAACAATCCTCAAAAGGTTAGTCATTGACACCAAAATAGTTCTGTTGTAGTTTGTCGCTCATAAAGTAACTCCCTTTAATTTCATTTTAGATATAATATTAATGGTGCCTGGCCAGGGACAAACAGCTGGTTATGTAGCCCAGTTGGTTAGACAGACTGTTAGGTGACTGGAATTAAGTCCAGGGTCTTAATCTGGTCCGGACTCGTTGCATTTTTAAGGATAATTTCAGTATTGTTTCTTTCATCATTGTTATTTTGGCGTTAAACAAAAATGTTAGGCATGGGTTTCTTTTAGAAATTATTCAAATAAGGTATCGACAAGCAGATTGAAAATAAACAAACAAAAACTAAACAAAAAGAAAACAAAAAATCGATTTCATAGACACAGTTGTTGGATTAGGGACAGTCATCCATATATGAACATTGTTATGTGATATTCAGGTAGATGCGTTTTACAAATTTCGCTTCTCAGTGACCCTTAAGCTTTGCTATCGGCAGAAAACGTCGAATACATCTCTCTGGTTAGAGATATATAGATTGTGTCGTGCATGTAGGTCGTGTATTCCTTAACAGATACAGGTAAATGTTCATCACGAAATTGAGAATAAAACCTAACCATCCATAACGACAACTAACAGGTGTATTGCCAGTTCGCACGCAAACGCTTGCAGAACACAAGCATTTATCAGCAGCATTAGATCAGCGGAAAACGGTCTGTGAAAATCTTACCCCTTGTGCTAAGTCCTCTGGGGCGAATTTGACGATGTGATCCGTCAGATACAATTAATAGAATATTGTATGGAGTAGTAATATCTATGTATAACGTTATTTCAAAGGTAATCGAATGTGTTTGGTTTCACAAACTACGAAGGCAGCGCATTAAATCGATTTTCAATACATCTGTACCGTCTGTGAAAATATTCAAGTAAATAATTAATACTTCAATGGGTTTTTGAATAAGTACACTATGCGGCAACAATAGGCGTGCACTAGAGACTCTCATCCTGAGCATTATTGATACTCCTTAACTGCCTTTAAGTATGTCCGGTTACAGTTTACATGGGGCAGGCTTTCGAATTGATCTGTGTTAAAAAATCGTCTTGTTTTGACACAAACGTTTCTGTGACTTTTGAAACTAATCAGAAACCTCGGCATAGTTATTTTAGATAGATGAAACCCATCATTTGTTGTCTCATTATTTACGTTATGTGAAATCTGATACCATGCATTTACATGAAGGCCCGTTCCATCATATCCCTCCCTGTGGATTCCGGAAAGAATTTGACTACTGTAGTCCAGTACTGCTAGTATTGGAAAGGCGACTAATATAAAGCTCTCTGCGATAATGGGGGTTTCCTCCGTGGTTTCTGCTAAGGGAATAAAAGAAAATAATTTCATAGGCATTTAGATCTCCTAAGTTGAGCTTGTGAGTGTGTACTGATTTATGTGGCAGTATTATATATTCGGACTGACTTAAGTGGAGCTCGATCACTACAGATTCTGAAAACATCTTTAGTGTCCTTTGATGTAGGAACATGAAGGAAACAATTGATCCATAACATCCTTTGTTTTATTGGAATCTTTTTTTCTTTCATATGTCTACAGTTGTTTTTTGGCATTCCCACTGTTTGCCAAAATTCAAGTCTTAACAATGATTCTTTGGTGTGTTTAAATGATATGTGACCACCATTCTCTGTCCTAGCCTTTCTAACTACTACCATTCTATGCCCTGAGCTGATGGACACATTGTTATTCCCTTTCAATGCTAAGGGTAGTCGTCTGGCGCAGTCGATAGCACACTCGCTTTTCACAAAGACGGCCGGGGTTCGACTCCTCGACCGTACGTGAGGAGGTATTAAGAAACCTGCCAAACCACGAAGGATTTTGTCTTGGTATTCCGGTTCACTCCAACAAGCAAAATGTCCCTGCTCGCTTTCATCCAGGACAACCAGAGGGGTTAATATGAATTGTAATAACCTTTTTCATAATTGTAGTGAAATAAATAAAATTTATATTTGGCGATGCGTTGTAAAATTGTCCTGACAAGGGATCGCAAATGTTGTCTTCTGCAAATTTAACGGATACTCAACCTATGTCAGCACCAGGCTGCTACACGTACCTAAGGTTAGATATCACCATGTCATTACTATCCTATTTAAAGATTAATGGTAAGTTTGAGTTCGGTATTATAATTACTCACGAGGCTTATTTACATAATCATTGCAAACTATATACAGCAGACAAATATTGACGTCAATATGACGTCATAGATTAATAATTCCACTGTTATGAATGAAACCGAACATTCTCTTGCTGTGATATCATATCCCGAATACTTGTCAATAATGTTAACGATTTATGACCTAGTACGAGGCTTTGTTTTAAACCACACCTAATCTTCACATGGTTTTAGTGGTAGGACATAGTTTTGGAATTCAGATTTATTGAACACTTTCGCACATTTGTTTGGAAACGTTTCCTTTTCACTCAACACGTGGGCACGCATGTCCTGAGACTGCATTGTCCAATATGAAACCTCAAATACAACGCTGCGGGATGGTTACCCGGACACACAATGCGTATATATAAGTTAAGTGTTTGTACAGTGCTGTCGAAGATCAACCTTTTATTAACCCAGCTCTGATTTGCGTATATATGCTTGTTATTGGAAGTCGATCGAGTTCTAACGATACAGATTTGTATTAGGACATTTCCAAACGTTTTCGATTGCTACTTGTATAAAAAAGGCCATTCGAGTTCGCTCATAAAGTAGTTGGAATCATTCAGCATTGAAGCCCTGATATTCAGTGACAGGACAAATTGATTTTACTTGTCAGCGGCAGTGGTTCGTAAAAACATTGGACAAATTCTATAGCTCATATTGGAGTGTTAATTGAATGACGGCTGAACAGGTAACGCGCTCATAAAGGTGGACGATCTATGTTTAAGCAGTTATATGCTAAAGTACATCACAGCGTGTGAGGGATCGAGTGTTTGGAAGGAAGCGTGGGAGCGAGGGTGGTCCATAGTCAGCATCTGGCGCGATTGCCAGTGTGGGAGCTATATCACTTGACAAGTGATCTCCACGAGACAACCAAGGTCTACCATCAAGCCCTGATTGTGATCAGAATATAATTATATCTGATTGGAATAATACCACAAAGACAGCAATTTATTATTTTGCAGGATTTCTATAGCAAAACTGTAAGTATTTATTTATAAATAATATGTAATGTTATCTGTTAAAATATAACAACAATTATTTTAAGCTTCCGTTTGTGAAAAAATACCTGGGATTTTCTATTTGCATCCTGATCACTATCTTTGAAGGTGTTTTTTTAGCTGTTGATGAATTGGATCAGTATGTTATATAAGACAATATCTCATACCTGGGTCAGTTTGCGATAAAAAAAGTTTTAACTTTATTTAAAAGATTTAGTAGCTATTTAAATTCGTTACCGAAAATTGAAATAAACACGCGCAAAGAAACCTGCTACTGTGAACTATCCTGAAAACCTGCCATTTGGAGATACCTGTACTAGTATACTGTATACAGGATCAAATGTGTGTGATTGGAAGTGGATGTCGAGGTAGGGGGAATATACGCTTAATTTGTTTAAAAAAATATAAATCGTTTTGCAATATTCAGAGTAATGTATAGATGTGCTCTAGACGATGAAGTCTTATGTAAATAAATAATGAATGTGAATTCACCTGTGTTAGTAATTATATTGTGTCAAAGAGTTTGCTCGTATGCGTAAATGGGAACACAAAGCTAAGGAATTGTAACGAACATTTTGTTTATTACAGGGCTGGAAATTTTAATTATCAAAGTGTACAATAAAAGTGCACATTTTAATGTAAACTCCACCAAAATAACATTAGTAAAATGTTCGCGATTTAAAGAACTGTTTAATAATACACATAGACACTGATGCAAGTTATGACAGTGTATTATTAGCTTCAACGGAAATCGAGGTGAATGGTAATATAAATAGTATCCTTATACCTTGCTACTGTGCAATGTTTGAGCGAGGATTCCCCCTTGCTACCCTCCGTCTTTTCTTGTTGTGTTGTTAATACAATACTGATGCAATGTTTGAGCGCAGACTCATCCTTGCTACCCGCCGTCTTTTCTTGTCGAGTTGTTAATTACATAACTGTTGCAAGGTTTGAACAAGGATTCCCCCTTGCTGCCTGCCATCTGTTTTTGTCGAGTTGTTTAAACACTACTGATGAAAGGTTTAAGCTAGGATTCCCACTTGCTGCCTGTTGTCTGTTCTTGTCGAGTTGTTTAAACACTACTGATGAAAGGTTTAAGCTAGGATTCCCCCTTGCTGCCTTGTGTCTGTTCTTGTCGAGTTAATAATTCACTACTGATGCGAGGTTTGAGCAAGGATTCCCCCTTGCTGCCTGCCATCTGTTCTTGTCGAGTTGTTAATACACTACTGATCGAGGTTTGAGCAAGGATTCCCCCTTGCCTTCAGTTGTCTGTTCTTGTCGAGTTGTTTAAACACTACTGATGCCAGGTTTGAGCAAGGATTCCCCCTTGCTTTCTGTTGTCTGTTTTTGTCGAGTTGTTTAAACACTACTGATGAAAGGTTTAAGCTAGGATTCCCCCTTGCTGCCTTGTGTCTGTTCTTGTCGAGTTAATAATTCACTACTGATGCGAGGTTTGAGCAAGGATTCCCCCTTGCTTTCTGTTGTCTGTTTTTGTCTAGTTGTTTAAACACTACTGATGAAGGGTTTAAGCGAGGATTCCTCCTTGCTGTCTGCCGTCTGTTCGTGTCGAGTTGTTTATGCATTATTGATATGAAGTTTGAGCGAGGATTCCTTCTTGCTGCCTGCTGTCTGTTTTTGTCGAAATGTTTAATTCACTACTGATGCGAGGTTTGAGCAAGGATTCCCCCTTGCTGCCTGCCGTCTGTTTTTGTCGAATTGTTAATACACTACTGATGCGAGGTTTGAGCAAGGATTTCCCCTTGCTGCCTGCCATCTGTTTTTGTCGAAATGTTTAATACACTACTGATGCAAGGTTTGAGCAAGGATTCCCCCTTGTTGCCTACTGTTTGTTTTTGTCGAGTTGTTAATACACTACTGTTGCGAGGTTTGAACAAGGATTCCCCCTTGCTGCCTGCCGTCTGTTTTTGTCGAATTGTTAATTCACTACTGATGCAAGGTTTAAGCGAGGATTCCCCCTTGCTGCCTGCCATCTGTTTTTGTCGAAATGTTTAATACACTACTGATGCAAGGTTTGAGCAAGGATTCCCCCTTGTTGCCTACTGTTTGTTTTTGTCGAGTTGTTAATACACTACTGTTGCGAGGTTTGAACAAGGATTCCCCCTTGCTGCCTCTCGTCTGTTTGATTTGTTGATGTAGTGTTCTTGCCAGGGTTCAACTTGTTTCTTGTTACCGTCTTCTACATTTGACTGTTTCGGGCCATATTAGAACTAAGGTTCATCCATACCTCCTGTCGTCTCTTCGGATCGGCTATTTGTATAATACAATGTTGATGTAGTGTTCGGGTCAGGATTCCTCCTTGTTCCTTGTTACCCTTTGCCACTTTCAACTATCTCAAGGTCATATTATTTAAGGGTCTGTCTGTTTGACTTGTTTCTCTTCGCCATGTATAACCGTGAGTTCACGTTACTTTCTGTTGCTTTCTTTTTGTTTTCACTTGGTATTTTTCCATTATATTTGAGCCAGGATTTCCCTTAATTCGTATTGCCGTCTGTTTGCTCCGACAGTGTGGTTCTGTTTCGTCCTTGTTTGCTTTTATGTTACTTTTCATTAAATAAATACCGTTAACAACTATCGGCAGAAGTGATATTTAGGAATTCAGTACAACAATATCAGATCACACGAGAGCTTTGTTTCGGCAGAGTTTTTAATACAGGCTAATCAAAGAAATGGCGTAAGAAAGCAAGCATGTACTTTAAGACCATTACAGGTCAAATTTAATAGAGCTGCGAAGGAAATATGATTAAATGAAACATTGAGGACGTGCATGTATATACAGCACACATTCGTTACACTCTTTGTCTCAACAAATGTGTAAATAAAGATATTTGAGGATATTTTAGTAAAGCATACAATAATCTATTTACAAAAAAGTACTGGAAAATGAAGCAATGTACATGACACCGAGGTCTTCTACTTATTTTTGAAACCAGTTTCTCTCTTCTCGAATCATTTTAATCACTCTTGCTGGCCTGGATGGAAACCCCAGGTGGTCATAATACAAATAATGCAGGCCATACTATCAAATAAAGTTGTCTGAATTGATATATAAAATATGTCAAAATGACGAGATTAGCCTTTCACGTTTGATTTCATTATATTTTTCGAGCAGAGGTTATTTATTTTCTGAAAAAACGTGTTTGTGGATGTAGCTGACATAGTATTTCAATGTTTTCTTCTTTTACTAGAAAATAATATTCTTTCTGAAAATGATGTGTAAAGAAATGTTCTCTGTGTACGATTTTGGTCTCAAATATTAGTTTGATTTTAATGATGAACACCGAATATTATATCCATGCACCTAATGATAAAATTATGTTCTATCTCTGTAAAGACGTCTTGTCATAAAACCGTATAAAATATGCAAATGTCTATATATATGCATGTGTTTACGTACGTAGGAAGCCTTATCCTTTTGATCTTTGAACGTAAATGATGTGAGGTGAATCGTCGATGTCTTCATGTTAGATCATTAATAGCCATACAGATCTTAATCGACACGGATGCGCAGGGATATGTGAAGAAGTCGACGCTTCGGTAAATGAATTAGTCGAGCGGTAGACAAAAAGTCACGTGATAGATCTGATGACAATGTGGCAGGGGCTCCACTTATAAACAAAATGTCACGTGATATATATGTTGACAAGGTGACAGGGGCTCGACTTGTAGGAAAAAAGTCAAGTGATATATCTGATGACAAGGTGACATGGGCTTCACTTATAGACAACATGTCACGAAATAGATCTATTGTCAAGATGACCACAGGCTCGACTTGTAGATAAAATGTCTCATGATACATCTGGTACAAGGTGACACGGGCTTGATTTGTCGACAACATGTCACGTGATAGATATGATGACAAAATGACACGGGCTCGACTTGTGGACAAAATGTCACGAAATAGATCTGATGACAAGGTGATATGCGCTCGATTTGTAGACAAAATGTCACGTGCTAAATCTAATGACAAGGTGACGCGGGCTCAATTCGTAGACAAAATAACCCGCGATAAATCTGATGACAAGGTGACACGGGCTCAATTCGTAGAAAAAATGTCACGTGATAAATCTGATGACAAAGTGACATGGGCTCAATTCGTAGACAAAATAACCCGCGATAAATCTGATGACAAGGTGACACGGGGTCAATTCGTAGACAAAATGTCACGTGATAAATCTGATGACAAGGTGACAGAGGCTCAATTCGTAGAAAAAATGTCACGTGATAAATCTGATGACAAAGTGACATGGGCTCGATTTGTAGAAAAAATGACACGTTTGTGGTAAAAGCAACATACATTGTATTATACATTTTTGGACAAAGTAATACGGACTCGACTTGTAGACATTGTGTCATATTATAGATTTGTGGGCAATGTGACACGGGCTCGATTTGTAGACAAGCTGTCACGCGATTTTTGTTTTATTAAATGCACGAGTTCAACTCGTTGAACAATGATCGAACCTCATTTTATTCAGATGTATTGTGGTTGTCGAAGTTATTCGTATTTCTTGGTTAGGCGATCTTGTGCTGTTTTTTTGAGGCCGGGATATATATAAGACACTTTTTGTTAATATTTCAACTGCTGACTTGTACAAGAATCTGTGTGTATTTAATTGTCATTCTTTATAACAAGGCATGTTTTGTTACACTATACTACATTACCTAATTCAAATTTACATTACCTTATTCATTTAAACAATAACTGGTTGTCTGTATGTAATTATTGTTGATATAATTACAAGTGGCCTCTGGCAAATCCCATAAAACCCGTATTTGCCAGAGGCCACTTGTATTTATATCAACAATAATTACATCCAAACAACCAGGTATTTTTTATATTTACATATTTTTCTTTTTTAAGACATATTTCTACAAAAACCATTTGCCCTGCCTCAAAATACATTTCAGGCGGTCATTTTGTTTGTTTACATATTCCTACATCTGAAACATGCAGTTGTAATTATCCAAACAACCAGGTATTTTTTATATTTACATATTTTTCTTTTTTAAGACATATTTGTAATGGGACGGCGCGGGGGCAAATGTAAAAATACTGATATAACCGAAATCATACTCACCTTACTTGATTCATATGCCACCTCGCCTAATCCATAATCACCCATTGTAATACATACTCACCTTACATATTTCATATTGCATCTTTCCTGCTTGTATAACCTAATTCATAATTTCTTATATAACTCACGTTTCACCTTACCTAATGTATGCTTACCTTACCTTATTCATATTCACTTTACCTAATTCATACATACTTACCTTATTCCTGCTCACCTTATCTAATTCTTACTCACCTGACCTAATTCATAATTATCTTATATAATTCATGTTTCACCTTACCTAATGCATACTTACCTTACTTATTCATACTCACCTTACCTAATTCATACTCACCTTACCTAATTCATACTCGCCTATTATTCATATTTCACCTTACCTAATTTCTGCTTACCTTACCTTATTCATACTCACCTTACCTAATCCATACTCACCTTACATATTTCATATTGCACCTTTCCTGATTCATATTTCACCTTATATTACCTAATTCATAATTATCTTACATCAGTCATATTTCACCTTATTTAATTCTTATTCACCTTACCTTATTCATACTCACCTGACCTTATTCATATTTCACCTTACCTAATTCATACTCACTTTGGTTCATCATATATTTAACTTAAACTGATTCATAATCACCTTACCTGATTCGTATTTTACCATTAATAATTCATGCTTACCTTACCAAATTCCTATTTCGACTTGCCTTATTATTACCTAACAATCTTTAATTCATAGTTCACCTAATTCAAATTCCACCTTACTTTATTCATACGTGCCCTTGCCTAATTAATACCTAATTCATACTTTTAATATTTACCTGGACTTATTCACATTTCACTTGACATATTTCGCATTTCACTTTACCTAATTCACTTTTCAACCTTTATTTATTTATTTTATTTATATTTAACCTTAACTTATTCATGTGTCATCTTATCTTTTTACTTTTTAACTTTGTTTATATTTGACTTTACATAATTCGCATTAACTTGACCTTATCCATATTTCATCTAACTTACTTCATTTTTCATTTGACTTCACTTAATTCATATTTAAGCTTACCTTATTCATATGTTAACTAACCTATTTGATACATCGCCCTTACCTAACATCACCCTACGTAACTAAAACATCACATCTCCCTACCGTATTCATATGTTAGCTTACCAAGTTCATACCTTTCCTTACCTAGTTCATAAATCACCAAACATAATGCAAACATCACCTCTCCTTACCTCATACACCCCCTCATCTTATTCCTACATCCCATTACAGTGTACCTAATCTATACATTACATCACATAATTCATACATCACCGAAGAACACATTAACTTTGGTAATTGAAACAGAACTAAAAACATACACTCTAATAATCAGACAACTGTTCATAATCTTCTATCGTGTTTGATCACAGCTAGTATGTTAAAACCTTGACGGTGTTCGACTGGAAACGTTGGTCCCTTTAATTAACACCTATACGTGTACAGATGGCGATTTGTCACTATGTTAGCCAGGTAGTGTGATTTATTGGTTTATCGCGATGAATTATCGAATCAGGTGCTGGAGTCGAGTGTAAGGCACCGAGAGGGGAACAATATGGGTTTAGAAGACTAGTAGATAACGAGTACAAAAGAAGCATTCCTTCACATTTCATCAGCATCGCGTTCACTTATACTCATGGTTATTTTCCCCGTGGATGCGTCATATTGATTAAACAACTACTTATGGTTGGTTTCGTACACGAGACCATTCGATTTTTTTTGATTTTTTTTTTTTTAATATTCCTAATTTAATAAGAGATAAATGTTATTGTACATGTTGTATACATAACCCATGTTTCATACATGAACTGTGCTTGTATACCGTCTGTATATACTAGATATACCGTACATACTTTATTTTACGTTCTTAACGTATTTGGCCCCATCCATGTGATGTATATATTTTCAGAAATGCTAAATTTTGCCATTGCGTTTCAAATGAACAAAACACTTGTCCACGATATATTAAAATTTGTGTTTGACTTATTTCACGAGTTAAACCGAAAAAAATACGGCTCGTATAATATATGTAATCTTCAACGCTAAAAGTACATACATTTTGGTTTAGGTGACAGCTGTTCTAAAACGTTCACAAAAGTATTTCAGAACTACTGTAAACGTATTGGTTTTATTGTGGAACTTCATATTCTCATTCATACGTTCCACTACATGTGCTGGTCGTTCCAACAATGTTAACTTTCATTATGTGGACATATTGTTAATTAAAACATGTTTCTTTAAAATAGCGTTTTATTGGAAACAAGTTAATGCAACAAAAATAATTCCTTTCATCCGGATTTCGGTTAGCAAAAGCATTAAAAACCTCACAGAAATAAGTTTGATTGCATGTAATTCAGATAACAAAATGCATGAAGCTACTAGTTTGTTAGCTTGGATAAAAGCTATGTTGAAAAAACAACTCAACCACTTTGTAAAATGAAAGGTAGGAAATTTGGAGAACAGGTATATATGAACCGAAACTTGCGATTAAAATGTCCGTTGCATTATTCACACGTCCCTTGCTATTGACTAGGTATCAGTTTAGGCATAACTTGATAATTTAGTAAACATTTGAAACAAATATTTATAGATTTCATTTTCAAATTTAAAATGTGCGAGTTCAGACAACTCCCGGTACGCTGGCACCCACTGATTCCATATATACGATAGCTCTATGAGCGAAGTTTCTTTTTCAGCATCTGAAAGCAGTACAATCGCCTTCGATCGCTGTATCAATTTCAAGCTAGTATCCACATCAAAGGTTCCCTCTCAATGGTTGAGCCCACTTTAAGATGATTTATATGGAACTTGAACGATATTCCTAACCTTCAACGTTGATTTCATCAATTCTCTAATGATTCAAACAGTTTGAACCGGGATTATATTATGGTCATTTTATGGCAAGCGATACCTTGGTAAATACACGCCAATGCAACGCCGGATCTGTTATCAAGAATTTGATATATGATAGCCCGTATTCATAATAAAATCTGAAGGACTTCTGTCAAAAGTGAATTGATGACGAAATATCGATTAATCATGTAAATTACCATAATAGAAATAGTCGATTTCGCTGTTAGTGACATGTGATCCTTGCATTGTATCATGTTATGTCGAGATATTGATTACCCCTTGTTCATTTCAATAGTAAGCATGGGGTATTCTATTTTGGTCGGGTTGGAATAGTACAAGTAATGCACATGTTTCATAACTATTAGCCATGTTACATTGTAGGTCAATGCCTAATGCTTTAAGTCTATTTGTAGATTTCCATCAAGCGGTCCATTACAGATTCTGTTTAAACACATCTTATGTTTCGATAATACGTATAGTTGTATGCATACGATATGAATCGAATTTGTTTTAACGTCCTTTGATGCGATGATTCTTTGACAATAACTGAAAGGGAACAAATACAAATTAGTGTCCCTCTCTATAATAGAATCAATGTCACATCAACACCCGTTCTCCATTGATAAAGAGGACAAAACAAGCACAGGAACAATTCACTGTGAGCAAATGCCAATTTACGTAAAATGCTGTACGAAATCGGGTGGGCGTGCGGAGTATAGAAACAAGGAAAATTACAATGATAAAGCAGTAATGACAAAATTGGAAATAATGTATAGTTCGGAACGACACTTACAGAGACGACACCATAACAAAAGGAAAGACATCACAAGCCGATATATGATAGGAACCGGAAACGGGTATTCGAAGTAATGTCTTGATGTAGTTTCTTAGTCAGCAATGTTCTAACACATGGAACATATCACGTATCCCGACAGATATTTAGTACAATGTAACCCCATATCTGCAACTTAGTGTGAAAGTAAAAATAATTTTAAATAAATAAAGATGTTTTATGTTAACAGTGACCATTTGCCTTGAACGCCCTTGGAAGTGACTTCCGGTGACAGCGAGTGACCTGGCAGAGACCGGTTGCTCTCCCTGCCGTGAGAGATGACGGTTCGGGAGGTTGTTTCCCCTGTAAAACTGCGGGACTGTCTTGCACGATGTCGACAGTCCCGGAAGTTGGTGCTCATCATTGTGTTCATCGCCTTGTTCCTGGACAACATGCTTCTAACAGTTGTTGGTGAGTGTACTTCAATACTATTCCTGTCAAATTCCGAGACGAAATATTGTTCTTAAATCTAAGATTTAAATCTAGTATCTGATATCTGAGGTGAACGTGTGGTTTACATTGTATCGTCGTTGTTTGTTTACTTTCCAAAATATTTTGCGCATTTCATTAAAACTTACGGAAGATTGGTTTTGCTTAGATGAAATCTTAAATAGTTTTGTTACAATTAGATAATATCGTTTTATTTGTATTCAATTCAAAAGTCTGTACTTAAAAATATTTAAGTAATTTCCTCTTAAGCAAGATCTTATTCTTTTTTTTATTCAAAATAGTTGGAAAGAGTGGAAAACTTAAAAGTAGAACTATTTCTTCTATAAATACATGAAGGTGGTTTAACTTTGGAACTTTTATTACATTCTAGAGAAGAAAATGTAACCAACCATTTTTTTTACTACCGTAATTAGCTGATCTCGTTTTATGAAATAAACCTTTCCCCTAATGTCTGAGTCTTGTACATACATCTGGATTTAACGGGTCCAAAACTTGTGTCTATTTGCAACTACAATGTCGAGGTCAACCATGGGAGGTAAGAATGTTAACCTATTTGTGACATACCTATAAACAGCAAAATAATGAAGGACAAATCATTAGATCAGCAATACGTTTTGTACAAATGTTTTTTTATATTGTAAATTGAGATTGTAGAAAATGTAGCATCAGTCACCATGCCATAAGCTTCAGGGCACTGTTGTTCAAAAGGTGATTAGCTTAATCACTGTTTGACGACATGTTTTAACCTGTAATAATTTGGTTAATAAACAAGAGAAAAAGTCGAAATTGTGTAAGTAATTTTACTCTTCTAAATATTTGCCCTCTGTAAAGTTTTAGCTTGGTTAATGGTTTTGATTTAAGGATACACAAAAAAAAATCTGGGCTTATCACTGATTATGCCAATTACCTCTTGAACAACTTCACCCAAAACTGAAGTGACTGATTTCATGGGAAAGATAGCGATAGCGTAGATAAGAGCATAAGGATGGACCCGAATTATCACAATAGGAGGATATTATCTATTTCTGGATTGCATGGTGTCCACACAGCAGAGGGCACGTTAAACAAGTCTCGATGTATAAAAATGACAATCACTTATGTAGAGACTGCCTCCCCTACAGATTATGTACCAATGAAACACTCTCATGGTATAAGCTATTGGTACAAGTCTAGGTATAATATAAATTACAGTATTGCAATTTTCTTGTATATTATAACCTTCGGTTGAATCTCACACTATCGATATTATAGAGACAAATTACTCATTTTTTCACATAGCTAACACTTTAGATTTCAAACCTTATTCAATTTTCAGTCATGTTTTTTTCTGTGTTTTAGTAACTCATGCACCGAAAAGTCAACTGCGATAACTACATCATTAATATATATGTTACTGTGTAAAGAAGATATTCTCATTTAATGAAAACACACTTAAAAATGGTCATTAAAACACCTGATTATTATTGTTTACAAGTAACGTAACAGCTACTTAAATCATCACTAACGTGTCATTATCTTCATTCATTATAATTAAGTAACAGTTTACATCTTCTTTGTTTCCAATACTTAATCCCGAGACATTCAAGTATAAGTTCTTTTTTGAAATAAATCCCTGGCTAGTTTTCCGACTTTTGAAAAATAAATTACGACTATTCACTTTTTTGTATGCATATTTTCATGTCTTATAAATATAAAGTCAATACACAATATCCAACCAAAACAACTGAACTATCCCGCATGGAAACATGGAGATAAAATATTAAAACAAATTGAGTAAGAATACACGAACACTGGCTTAAGGGGAGATAAGCAAGTGCACAAACTAAAGAATATTGGATATTATAAAAACATAAAGATTACTTGTACTTAACTAATTCTTATTAAATTAAAGTCCATTAGATTTGTACTTTGGCATCATACGTTCCTTCCATATCTGTTTCTTGTGTATTATTTATTTTTCTCTGCGAGGAGTTATCTCAGCAAAACTGAAAAAAATGAGAGAATTTATTTTAACGTACATGTATATATGTTTCTCTTACCCTGGAGAGGTGTATCCGCATTTTTACCGGTGTGAGATTTCCTTGTCTCACCCAAGGGTTGAGACGGGGGGATTCCCCTATTCCTAACAATGGCATGACGTCACTTTAACAATACAATGACGTCACGTCAACAATCCATCAACGTCACGTCAACCCTGAATTTAGCATGTAACGTTATCATTACATTGTGCATATGATACACAATGAAAGAACAGGGTAAGAGAAAAAGAATCATTGACCCCCTTGTGGGTGAGATAGTGGAATCTCAACCCTCGGGGAAAGATTCTTTAGTTGCCAAACACTCGGCAAAGCCTCGTGTTCGCAAACTTAAGAATCCTCCCCCTCGGGTTGAGATTCTCCTATCTCACCCCCAAGGGGGTGAAAGATTCTATTAATATACACCTATGATAGTAAAACATGTATCTAAATTTTGAATTTTCAGTGCCAATCATTCCAAATTTCATACGAAAAATGGAAGCTCCGTTTCACAGGACGAACGTTTCAGTTTCACCAGGTAAAACCGAAGTGGTTTGTTCCAACAGTACGAACTTCACTCTGTCATCAAGCCCCGCCATTGAACCGGGAGGTCCCGGATGGACCAGCTTTACAACCATCTCCTCGTTTTATGCCCAGACAACACCAGGACCGTGGATATACTGTGAAAATCGTACAACGAAAAATAATTCTTCAGATATTGTTGTGGTTGAGGAGGAAGTAGTGCGTCATGCCGAGTTAGCCAATGAAAATGTCAAAGTCGGATTATTGTTTGCGTCAAAGGCTTTGGTACAACTATTGTTTAACCCCTTTGTTGGAACCCTAACTAACAGGTAGGTATTACCTGTTTACTAAACTCCATCAGATGACTCCTTCGTGCATAACGTGCATTGCTAATGTTATTTTTGATCGGGGTTGTACAGCCGGAAACCAATGTTGATAATGTTTGACAAGCTGCGCGATAAAACGAAGGATCCATAGGATAAGTACTGTACCACTCGCCACAAGTATGTCCGTACAGTAGGGGATTGGTGGTGTATTTTGACGTTTTACGAATCCTCAATTTTTACATGATGTTACCTTTGGATCAGACAAACTTAGATTGCTATTTGAAGAAAAAAATCCGTTTGACCCGTTTGAGATAGATATTCGGGGGTGGGTGGTGGGAGGGGGGGGGGGGGGGGTAAGTGTGTAAGTATGCATATTGCATATATATCTTTTTGGGGTGTTTATAGTTGAAGCACAAGGTGCACTTACTTTTCTCTATTCAATGACATTTTAACAAAGGTTTATGTTCAAAATGGGGTTTTAATATTAATGGAATTTCACAACTTATACTTGTTTTGATTACATTTTATTGATGTTATATTGTGTTAACATATCTGAATAATTGTTTTTGACTAAAATAATGTTTTGAGTGGATTTTGAATTTACTGGAAACGAAATGTCATGTCACTGACTCCTTTGACTCCCAATAGGTTGCAAGGGATCCAACGGATTTTATATAAATATAGCATTTATATAGTCCTGATCTCAAGACATCTTCATGCAAAAATAAAAATACAATATACTTATCGTAAAAATGCCGAATATGGCACCCGTCCGTTTTACTATCTGTTTGATATCTTTTTGTTTGTTTTAGTTTTCTTATATCAAGTGGTTTGGGTTATAACCGTACTTTTGAATGATATCTATTTTGCTACAAAACCATTTCCACTACGGAGAGTCGAACCCCGGGCCTCTTGATTAAAGGGGTTTTCCCGCCTAGCTACCGGTTATGATATTTGTTCCGTTGACACTGTGCAGCGACAAAGAGTAGAAAATTCCACAATCTGTGACTACCTTTGAATTAACATACATTTAAGTATCCTTATACCACTGTGAAAACGTAGTTATGCTCTATAGCCCTGAAAAGAAAGTCATACCTTTCGGAACTCGTTTGAAACAAATGCAAGATCCAAACCCTCCAATCTTTATACTGTATCTTATCAAATGAGCTTCCTGTTCAACTGTACCCAGTTTATTTCTTTACTTTATAAACGATATCCCTGTGGGTCTAAATGCTACAATCCGTTTATTTGCAGACGACACTATTGCATATCTAGTTATCAAGTCAAACAGTGATGCTGAAACACTTCAAAAAGATCTTGACAAACTAGCGCTCTGTGAAAATACATGGAAAATGATCTTCCACCCAGACAAATGCAATGTGTTGTCGGTGACTAAAAACAAAACTCCAATAGTCCATAATTATACTTTACATGGACACATACTGGAACATCTTAGTCAGGCCAAGTACTGGGTGTAACACTATCATCTGACCTTAAATGGGATTCACATATAAATACTATCTGCCCAAAAGCAAATTCTACGCTAGACTTTTTAAGACGAAATCTTAAAATTGGCCCAACATCAGCCAAAGTACAGGCATACAAATCATTAGTTCGACCATCACTTGAGTATGCCTGTACAGGATGTGACCCTCACACCCAAACAAATATTGACAAGTTGGAAATGGTCCAGCGAAGGGTAGCGCGCTACGTGCTCAATACGCACAGGTACAACCATCGTACCTCCAGTGTGTCAGAAATGTTGGACCAACTAAAGCTGCGCCCTCTAGCAGATAGACGTAGAGATGCTCGTCTGACCATGCTTCATAACATTGTAAACCAGAAAGTCGCTATCGTAAAATCAGACAGATTAATCCCTACAGTTAGAAAATCCCGAACAAACCACCAGTTTTCGTATCAAATTCCCCACTCAAAAACCCAGACCAGAAAGGCATCATTCTTCCCTCGAACTATACCCGAGTCGAATAAACTCCCACCTGACATTATTTCGAGCCCCACAACGGAATTATTCAAATCAGCCCTCTACCGTCACCTTTCAAACGCAAATTAGACCATCTCGTATCTTTTACAAACAATCTCTTTCCATGTTCCACTCCTCGTCTGACATTTTATCTTTAAATTGTTGAAGTTGGTCAGTACCATTTAGAAGTAGAAGTACTGCACTGGACCTGTAGCGCTTCCGTTATAGCAAATATGAACGGGAAGGATACTGTATGTACAAAACACCACAGTGGAATTCTTCAGTAATTTTTCCTGTAGTTTGACAGAGATCCTGAAAATGGAAAATTATTTGTCAATGCCTGTGTATAATGGAAAAGTAGTGGGACTCTATAAGTTAAGTTTGTTTTATAGTTCCGTCGCAAGAAATCGAAAACAAAAATTAAAAAAAGATGGTTTAATAAAAGAACTTCATTTTTAGCCCGAGAATGGTTTCGTGAATATTGGCCCCGGGGCCCGTTGTCACCTTTGATTCCGTCTTTTTACATCGCTCAAAATCTCGCACGAAAACGTCTGTACTAACCCGTAATGAAATTGAGCAACATTAATGTTAAACTCCAATCTAAAGACATAATGATCAATCTCAATTTCTTGTAAAATCTACGTACATGTTAAACCCATACTCCACGGAGTAGCTTCGGAAAAATTGATCAACACAACAGCAGAATTTGTCTTTAGAAATTGAAAGCAGTGGATCGAAGTCCAGCCTAACTATTGTCTGAAGCAATATATAACTCTGCTCATTTTGGTGACCGGGTATAATTTGTCAACAGATAGGTCCTTCAAGCTTAGAGATCCCCGGATTAGTTGCGTCGGGTTAAAGTGTCGATTGAAGAGAATTCGAAATGTTCTGGCTTTTTTGGTGCTAAGGCTATTTGTCAACTGTCCCGCAATCGGTGATCTACTCCTATGTCCCAATTGATTTATAGCTCAGGCGACAATAAGTTTATTCACAGAAACTTCGGCTTATTTGTTTTGTCTGAAACAGAAAATTGTTAGACAAACGAAATCCAACAAGAGTCGAACATGTTTTAATTGACTTGTGCTTTTAGCTTAAAAGGACAATCGATTAATTCAATAAACAATACCAGCTGAAAGAAGCATTTGGTATACTGAACAAAGACAGCTAACCTCGAGTTCAGTTGGTTTGTCAGGTACGCCGAGTAGATTTAAGCTCGTCTGAAATATTGGTGCATAGGACCTAACATGAACGGCGTCGAGTATAGCGCGTAAACAGTTTTAACTTCTCCCTTAAAAAGTTCAGAACAAAGCTGAACAAACTTAGCAGGCATAATCAACGGTGTTAGTGGGTCGAACGCTGTTCAATTGGTCTGCTTAAGGTATACAAGAGCGCTGTTCAATTGGTCTGCTTAAGGTATACAAGAGCATAATGAGGGATGAAAAGGTGAAAATTGAAATCTTGAGAGTATCAATGCAAGATATTTCCCCCTATCGTTTGTAGACAGGTGCAATCACCTGTGTGCGTGTGTGTTACATGTACGTTTATCTTTGATATCATATTCAATTTCCTCCAAATGGGAATACAAGATGAGGGCAAAATAAGTTTTAAAGGTAAAAAATGAAGGAAATAATATAACCACAAATGACTGAAGTTATCCACAAACTGGTACTAATACAGGTCAATTGGATGTAGGGTCCCTGACCCATATGAAACCAAGTGAACTTTTTTGTACAAATCAAAAAATCGAATTACTGTATTCTGTCGTTTGTAGAAAAGTCTGGACGTGAAGAAAATGTTAACTTCTAAAGGGTCTTTATTGAACCTGTTTACGAATTGTTCACGAATACGCAACAGCACTTTACAACAGCAGTCAATATTGAAATGATTTCCATTTCGTTTTCCGTTTCTTGTAACGTTGATATAAGGTGATTCGTAAAGCTCTTTGTCATCATGTTGAATTTGAACGGAAAATGGTCAACAAAGGGGAAATTGGAAAATAGCTTACATAGCATTATTTGGTTTGGTGTTTTGAACTAAAACGAACAATCTGCCACCAAAAAACACACTTGCTAACGTAGAAATATTCCTATCGACTTTGTTAATAAAGGTGTATAGGCCGAAACTCTCCAAACTATGATGTCAGCAAGCTTGAAAATATCATTTGACTTAAAATTGAAGCCAAATGTGGCCTACACGTAAGTGATGTCCATATCGAACCGTTAAAATGTTAAATCAAGTCGCAGTATTAAAGAACACGTAGATGTGAATTTTAGGTCGTTTCATTAGACTAATGGCCCTTGGCACCCGGCCGTATCACATGCAACACGCGTACGATAACATCTTGTCTAGGTCAGCCTGTGTCAACGCAAGCAGTCAGATCAATGTGAGCAGGTAGCCCGCCAATGAATTCGTTGACGTTGATAACAAAATCGCAAGTAAGACTTCTCTATACAATATTATACATAATCCAAAAACTTGTTTAAACAATACTGATTACAAAGATCAAATTGACATAGATAATTGCAATCTGGGTAAAGCCTGAACTCCAAAGGTACGCGTTCAGCGTATAGCAATAGGCGTTACATGACACGCTTGGTTGTTTAAATGTCTCCCAACCAGGAAATACTGAATAAAATATCCGATTCCACTGAGACCATGCATAGCGTAGGCGCTTATTATGTTATTGGAGGAATATACCGCAATCCATTTCATACTATGCACCTGATTTTTTTTAAACCAAGGGTATGAAGTGGCGTGTGTAATAAGAAGAGTTAATCCGTGACTATATTTACGGATTGAGTGCTCATGAAATCAACTGTTTAAAATTATCATGATATACATAGAGGGTTTCCCCTCAAATTCCTACCTTACAATCCGCATACGTCATTCATGAAATATCAAAAGTGAATTCCCCGACAAAGCGATTACAGTATGATATCGCTTCCTTTAACTACGATACTGGGGGCAGTTTATGTCTTAGACTAGATATAGAGATGTTTTAGTCGGTAATGTTATCGGGCGC